TTCATGTATGATACTGCCTTTTAAAAATAGTTTTGCACCTGATGGTATGTTTTGAAAATCACCTTCTGATTCTGAACAGAATTTTGTTTGTGTTTAGTTTTGTAGACATTTGATCCTTTCAGAAAAAGGTCATATCGAATGGAAGTTGATGTATTTTGCACTTCAGAAGTATTACCCAACTAAAGAACAGTATGGAGATACTTTGCACTTTTGTCGGCACTGCAGCATTCTCTTTTGGAAGGTAATCACTTAAAATATACTCTTGGAATTTGAGGATTGAAATTTGATGAAACAAACTATTCACCTATACTGCAAGTATAAGGTAAAAAAAAAAATGGAAAGTACTGTTTATGACAAGAAACATCAAATGTTGGGGCTGGGGAACAGGCGTTCATAAAAGTAAAATGTACTTTTGGTCCCTGTGGTTTGGATCAGGATTGGCGCGTGGTGCTCTTCCCCGCGGGTGCCTTTCTCCCTCACAGCATCATGTGTGGGAGGTGTGTCCCGGGGCGGGTGAGGCTCTGGGTGCCCCTGACTGTCCTGGGCCTGGGGCAGAGATGAGCTTCCTGTCCCCTCCCATGGATCTGAGGAGGAATCGCCTGAGGCCCGTTCTGAGGATGGCCCCCGTGTCCACAGGGGCTGGATTGGGTCTCGGGCGTCCCCTTTCGGTGCAGAGGGTACACACCCAAGTCACAGCCTTTAAAATAACCTGCACTTGCTCATGTATTTGATCAAAACATGACGAGACCATCATTACCTATCCACAGGTCTGATCCTTTGGTGAAAGACTTAGGATCGTTGTCTTCAGCAATCTCAGTACCCAAGGAGTAGAGTGGCAGCCTCTGTCCCGTCTCATTCGCTCTCTAAATGTCCCTGACGATGTTTCCAGTCAGAGGTGAACTCTGTATGCCACTCCCTTGGAACAATTATTTTCTTAACATATTAATATTGTTTCACCCCGGAATGCATTTCCATGGTTTGATGTGTGGGGACAAGTGTTGAAACTGTAGAAGTCCAGTCCCTGGAGTGGCCACCACGCCCTAACCTGTGAGCTCCAGGCCTCGAAGGGGATCTCCTGCCGTCCCTGCTCAGGAACAAGCTCCCATAGCGATGGGCCGTCTCTGCCTTCTGCCTCCTCTGGGCCTGGGGAGATGTGGCTTTTGGCTGGTAGCTGTTATAACCTGTTTTGATTATTTCTTTTGCTTTACATTTATCTAAATTTGTTATCATAGGAGTCACCAGGCAAGCTCTAGATTGCTGGAAAAGAGACAACTGCTTTTAATATTCTATATTTCAAATTACATTTGTACTAGGGTGGCTTTTTTAATTATAGACTATGGTTGAGCAAAGATTTGGAGTTTTTCTTGTGTTATGTCAAGAGTTTAGTTTATCAAAGGTGAGCAGCAGCATGCTGTTCCTGATGCTTCCACGCATGAGTAACTTGAGATTTCATTATTTCTGATTTATTGTTTTATACATTGGTGTGATTCCCCTCTTCCCTGAAATTAAAAGGATGTCAGTGTTTTTGCAGTAGAACAATTGTTTTGTACAATGTTGTTGAGCGTTTTGTATCCACCATTGTCCTCATCCTTGGTGAGATCAGCAGACGGCTCCTCAGTGGTGACACATGGGATGAGGCTCGTACCCTGTTCTCTTCTCCGTGGTCCAGGGCACAGAGTACACACAGCAGGAGGGACATCTGTACAGAAAGGGGACAGGAGGTGGGCTGGGTTCTTGTGACTCTGAGACCAAGGGAGCAGGGCGGTCCCTGTGGCCTGTCTAGGATGAACATCTGTGCTTTCTGGACACAGGAGGGTGAGTCTTCACCCAGAGTGTGGAGCAGATGCAGTGCCATCATTTCTAGTTTGAGTTCGTGCTTCTCCTAAGAGTGACTTTTCCTTTTTCTCCTGAGCACATTGTTTTATACTGTAGCAGTATTAAAGCAGGCATACCTCCGAGGGGACTGCACTAGCATAGGAGAGAGGGCTTTCAGTTTGTGTGACAGTCAGTGTCCACTCACGACAGTATTCGAGAGCACTGAAGCTCTCCCTCTCTGCTGTCCCCTGGGCTCCTGTGGTCGGGCAGTACAGGCTGAGTGTCCTTTATCTGAAATGCTGGGACCAGTGTTTTGGATTTCAGATTCTTTTGGATTTTGAAATTTGCATATGTGTAACAAGATCTTGGGGATGGAACCCAAGTCTAAACACAAAATTCATTATGTTTTGTACACATACCTCACATACACAGCCTGAAGGTAACTGTATGCAGTATTTTTAATAATTTCATATATGAAACAAAGTTGTGTTAAGTACTTGTGTATGGAATTTTCACTGGTGGTGCCATGTCAGTGCTCAAAAGGTTTTAGATTTGGTAGCATTTCAGGTTTTGGATTTTCAGATTAGGAGTACTCATCCTGTATAAGAACATGCTGCTTAAGTTTCCAGAAATATGTAAAATCTGATTTTTTTTCTGAGAGGTGGTTTTTAGCTCTCCAAAGTAATTTGCTTGCAATTCTTGTATTTAGTGATCCATCCTGCCATACTGAATCGTGTTGTGGAAGTTCAGGACGGGTCTTTCCTGGTAAAGGTGTCTCAGTCCTGGATCTTGCTCGTCTTGCCTGGGGGCAGCCCGGCCTCTCCCACCAGACGTCACTTGGAAGGCAGTGGTCACAGTCCATTTTTATTTCTGAATCTGTGTATGAAAGAGCATGAAAAGAGATCCCTCACCTTGACTTAGCATCGTAACAGATGAGGAGCTAAAGTCACTTAAGAAGCTACTAAGGAAATAGGGTGGGGGGTGGGGACTTCAACCCCTGACCTCCTCAGACCTCTGGTGTGACTTTGCTGGCTCCCAGCCGTGTCACTCCCGGCAGTGTACATGTTCTGACCCGCAGGATCCAGGGCTGCCTCATCTGCTCCTGCGCTGGCTTCCCTGTGTCCCGGCTCTGTGGAACTGTAGTCACTTTCTGCCTTTCTCAGAAAGTCTCTAGCACAGTCTGGGTGGAACCAATAGGGTTACTGAAAGAGTTAGGGGTCACTGAGAGCCATCTGGGTGCTGGGGACAGGGAGAGGTGGTCCCCCAGCTGTGCAGCCCTCACTTAAGGTCCGTGGATTGTGGGGGTCAGGGAAGCAGTGTGAGGACACGGTATTTCCAGATCCAAAGACTAGGCCCTGACGTCTACCCTGCAGGCCTGCGTGGCCACTAGGAGCAGAGCCAGAGCTGGACCCCAGGAGAGGTGCCATGGGTCTGGTGGCCCTGGTCTTGCTGGTGAGCAGCATCAACCAGCTGAGCCTAGATCTCTGGGCAGGGTGGGGAGAGCCGCTGCCCGGCAGGGCCATCCGGTGGGTGGTGGGCTCCCCCAGGGTTGCCTCCATGAAATCCTGGGCAAGTTATGTGACACAGAGTGGACCCTCAGGACGTTAAGGAACAAAGGACTTCCTCCCCCAAACCTGTCATAATCTTTCCAGTGTAAATGATACATAGAAGTGTCAGTATCACTTTATGTACTTTTCATTGAGTAGTTTTGAAGATGATTTAGCACAGCACTTTCTTCAGCTGTCAGTTGAGAGACTGTCTTCACCTGCTTTGAGCAGGTGGATCCTGGTGTCCTGAGGTGCTTCAAGTGCTTGCTTCTAAACTCTTTGTGCGGCCCAGAGTTAGTGACCCAGTGTTTGTAGTTATTTTCACAAATAGCATGCATAGAGCCTATATGCCTAAATGTAGCGCGACTCTTTTATAATCTTAATTTTTCCTTTTTTTCTCCCTTCACTGCATTCCTTCCTGGTTCTTTCTTCACAATCTCAAAGGACTACCATCTTGCTTTACTGTTCAAGGTACCTCCGTGTTTCACCACATACTGCGTGTGTTATGTTGTCTGAAGCGCATCATCCTTGCCACCACCTGGCTCCGTCCCAGCTCTTACTGACTTGAGCCGAGTCCCAGGACCTCGAGGCAGGTCTCAGCTGCCCCTCTGGTCACTCGACAGGGTTTAATGAAGTATCTCACAGCCCAATGCCTGGGTGATGAGGGGGACTCTGGACGTGCCCGTAAACACTTAACTCAGATAAAAAGACATCCGCACAGCGCCTCGGAGCAATGCCACCCGGGCCTGCACTGGGGAGACCCAGCGTTGACTGTGCACGGCCTCTGTGTGTGCCTGTGTTCCTCCTAAGAGTTTGCCAGTTTTCCTCCACAAAACTTACTTTTCTTTCTTTGCTTCCCTTATTAAATATACCTCTTGGAGGTGTGAGTGCACCAGCTGCTAGGCACTCCCAGAGCAAGCATTGGTCCATGCGATATGTTCCCCCTCACAGCAGCCTGGGTCCCCGTCCCCAGTCTAGCGACACCTGCGCCTCCTCCTGGCCTGTGGGAGGATGAGCGATTGGTAGGTTGAACCCTGAGAAGCGAAACGAACCCTGGGACCAGAGGGCAGAAAGAGCTCCGTGGTTTCTCTTGTGGCCGTGCACGTTCTGGGGCAGCTCCTCTAAGTGGGGCCAGACTTAGCTCTGGAATTCCATGGGAACCTCCAGCCTCAGCTCAGACACTGGCTGCCCTGGTCTTGCCCCCTGGGTTACTCCCACGCACTTGGAGGCAGGGCCTGGGGTCAGCAAAGGCCTGCAGCCGTCTCCCCAGAAGTGCAACGGCAGTGGTGGCAAGGCCCCTGACCCTAACCCTCTCCCTCCCGCAGGACTCGGGACATCCCTGCACTGCGGCCGACCCTGACAGCTGCTTCACGCCTGTGTCCCCACAGCACTTCATCGACCTCTTCAAGTTCTGAAGCTGCCCCTCACCCTGCCGTCTGCTGGAGGCCGTCCTGGTGCCGTGTGGGGCTCCGTGTGCAGCGCTCTGGTCCGGCGGGGCAGGGCGTGGTTGTGCACATGCATCTTTGGAGGTCGGGGCCCACGCAAAATCATTTCTACTTCCATCTGTGAAAACTTTTCTTCTGAGCATATTAGGATTTTTTCTGAGCAGTTTTTCATATTTTATATATATGGTTCAAAGAAGATTTTGGATTTTCAACCCCTCATTCTGTGCTGAACTGATACAGAAGGCCTTCTAGAACATGCTTCTCCATTGTCAAACCATAGTTTCCCCATTTTATAGCAATTGGAGTGGGGGACAAAACAGTTGATCTTTGTAAATACATTGTGCAGAATATTTATTTTTTCTTAAAACATATTTTAACTCCATTGGCTGTGCCCAAATGAGTCCTCTTTGAATACAGAACGAACCTAGGGAAGTGCTGGCACGTTCCGACTGGCGGTAGGGGGTCAGCTGTGCGTTGCGTGCTATGCCCTACACGGGGCGGTGGCTTCCCTGGGCACCAGGTATAGGCCTGGGCAGGGCACCTGCTGCCAGGGGGCCGTGTGCACGCACACCTGGACTGTGCCCACCAGCCCACGCAGGAGCGTGTGCCCAGACTGAGCTGGGAACAGCCACTGTGGTCTAAACTCCTTTCACAGACAGGAATAAATCACATTTATCCCATATACCTTTGTCAGTTTTGCATCTTACTGGAAAACACAGTGATTTTGATTTTATTCAAGTCTTTAAAAGATTGTTTTAAAATAATGCATGTCCACTTTAGAAAATTTTGAAAATAAAAGTATATATAAAAAAATAAAATCACCCCCAGTGTTTCTGCCCAGAGGCTACTGTGCATGCTGAGAAGAGCTGGCCACACCGTCTCTTGGCAGCCCGTGGGTAGAATTGTGAAACTGTACGTTTTCATCTTGGTAGGGTCAACGGACCCAAGCTAATCATTTCTACTTCCTTTATGTTTTTTTCTTCTCAGTGTATTAAAATCTGTAATTTTATGTATTTATAAATGCAAATCAAAGATTTTCAATTTTCAGCCTCACATTCTGTGCCGAACTGACATGAAAGGCCAAGAATACGCTGCTGCTCTGTCAAACTAGTTTGCCCCCAGGCATGATGCGGATGCTGGGGCTGCTGTGAGGTACACAGGAGTCAGAGTCTTTGTAAAAGCCTCAACGTGCCATGTTCTCGTTTTCATTTCATAACCAGCCCCCTTTTTAGAAGCATTTACGTGTATCTTCAATATTCATTTGGAAGCATGGTTGTTACTGGGCACGTGACAGCAGCAGATGGAGCCTCCCTCATCACAGCATTCGGGCAGCTCCTGACTGCCAGCGTTACTGCATACAGACGGCTGTGCAGGGGACTCTTCCTCACGGCAAAGCAGAAGTAGAACCAAACGGTGACCAAACGTTTAAGGTTTTAACATACATTTCCAGATTGCTAGTGAGAAGAGAAACTGTCATAACCTTTCTAAGAGAAGGAGTATATTGAGTTTCCATGATTCCTGAAGCACAGATATTGTTTCTTTTTCTGTTGGTGCTATTTTAGTAAGTGAAGAATTGGATATGTGCTTTATTATGAAGTTGAACGTTTTTGTGTATTTACTGGCCATTTGTTTTTGGTAAATTAATATGTGTTCTTTGCCTGTTTTCCTTTGGGGTGTTGGTCTTTTTCATGTGAATTTCTTCTTAAAAGGGCATTAACCTTTTGACGTTGTGGTTCTTTCCTTCAATTGGTCATAAACCTTTTAATGATCTCAATGCTATTCGGCTGTGCTCTAGAATCATGTGTGTGCATTTAACTTGTATAAATCAAACAATACCTGCTTAGAAAAAAAAAATCAAGATTGATGGTGTAAGGGAGAGGATTCCAGCAATCGCACAAAATTTGCATGTTTTCACAGGTGGTGGTTGCTGCCAGCCCAAACCGTCAGTGCACATTGGCCCACTGAGGCAGGTGTGCCCTGGGGGCTGGGCAGGCATGGAAGGCAGCCCACTCACATTGGAGGGTTCATGGAGGGTGTAGACAAAGAATAAAGACAGTTTTGATCAGTTATTTATAGTAAATCAGACAACACCAGAGATAAGAGGAAGTGTAAGTTCACAAATCTGGTTGTTATATCTGAATGCAGAGTCTGTCAGAGGGTCTGCTTAAAGTAGGGGTGCCACTCATTGCGGGATTAAACTACTGTTTTGATGTACTTATTTGCAACAAAGTAGAGATTTCAGGACACCAAGAGCCTGAGACAGACAGTAAGCTTCACTCGCCCTTGATCTTGGCAAAGCGATACCAGGCTCTCGAGATGCCACTTCATTTCTGGTCCTGTTGCCCAGAAGCTGGTGCTGGCGTTCAGTCGCAACTTCCCTTTGCCTGTGTTGAGAGTTGAAAAGGCACGTTTCTCACCTCCTGTGTGAATCAGACAGATCAGAAAGACCAGCAGCTGTGTCTCGGCAGCAGACCCAGGGCAGCTCTGTAGTGTTAGTAGTTTGCCAGAGAGGTGCCGTTATCTGAGTGCACACGCTGTGCACATCTACACAGGGCTATTATGGAAAAACTGTAAGAATCTGTGTACAGTTTCTGCCTTAAATGCTGCTTTTATAATCAGAGCCTCAGAAGAGTTTTGGATCCTGGACCCTTCCTGAAATAGTTCATCAGCCCTCATAGTATTTTGTAGAGTCCTCATGATTTGCTATAAACAAAATCATGCATCTGTGAATAGAGTTTCGCATCTTCCTCAGTTTAGATGCCTGCTTCTTTCTTTCCTGCCTCCTTCCCTGGCTAGAGCCTCTGGCACACTGTTGAGCAGCAGAGGCAAGAATGGGCATCCTTGTCTCGTTCCTGGCCCCAGGGAAAGTGTTCAGTCTTTCACCACCAACTGACGTTACCCGTGGGCTTTCCATAGATACACTGTACCAGGTTGAGGAAGTTCTTTTCTGCTGCTAGTTTGCTGACTGTTTTTATCACGAAACGGTGGGATTTTGTCAAATGCTTTTTCTGCATCTCTTGAGAAGATCACGTGGCTTTCATCCTTCATTCTATGGATGTGGGGTTATTGCATGCACCGATGTTTGTATGTTGAACCAACCTCGCCTTCCCAGGCTGATGATGCCCTCTGAAAGCTGCAGTTCTAAAAGGCAGAGGATACATGACTATAAGCTCCTCTCCATCACTGAGTGTTTGCACCTGCTGGACTCTGTTCACCTCCCTTTGATCCCTACCTATTGCAGTAGCAGGTGCCACCCAGTGAAACAGCCAGAAAATTTGCAGCATGTGTGAAGACAAGAAGGACTCACGTAGCCCAAAACACAGCAGATGTGCACCAGCTGCTCATCGACCTCTGATGATGAGTGCCAACTTCTGTCCTGTCCTCAACTTCTCTGCACTTGTGTCCGTCTCCTGCCTTCACTTGAGCAAGCCTCGCTCCTTGTCCCTGCCTGTTGTTTCTGCCCAAAGGAAGCAGACCCTCGATACTAGAAGGCAGTGTCCCCGAGGGCCAGTGGTGATTGAGCGCCGCTTGGCTGGTAGGAGCTGCTCACGGATGTGGTCCTGCCTCTTGGGTTCCAGCAGGGAAGAGCTGACTCATGTCAAGGAACTGCTCTTCCAGGCAATGGCCCTGGGCCTGCACCCTCACGCCCCTGCAGCTACCGCCTCTGTCTCTGTGTACAAAGGGGTCCCGCTATGCGGCCACTCCCCTGAGCACTGTCCTGGATACAAAGCCGTGGGGGTCGTGTGCCAAGGGAAAACTGGGGACTTGGCGGTTGCCCCTTCAGAGAGTGGTGGAGAATCGAGCTGTGCTAGGTGGGCGCAGCCTCGTGCCACAACTGTCACACCCCACCCACAGCCAGGCTTCCCTGAGGATGGTGGGTCCCCAAGGAAATGCTCTTGTGCCCCTTGTTTAAATAAGGCACAGTAAAAAAGATAAGGTATCAGACAGGAGAGACACCACAGCTGTTTTAGTTTTTGCATGGAATTTCATTTTTGATAGTCATTTGAGAAACTTGCACAGATGAAGGCAAGTAGTTTTTTTTTTATCTACCTCTGTAAATGATTCTAATCTCATTAAAAATTTTTTCCTTGTGGTAAAATTTATCCTAACTAGTGTACAATTTAGTGGTACCTTCACATTGTTGTACATTTTTATCTTGTAAACTGAAACTCTGTCCCCATGAACACCAACTTACCCTCTCCCTCCCTCAGCCCTGGCAACTCCATCCTGCTTTCTGTCTCTGAATTTGACCACTGCAGGGGCCTCATGAGTGGAACCAGAGGGGATCATCCTATGTCTGACTTATTTTACTAACTGTTATGTCCTCAGAATTCTTGCACGTTATAGCATGTGCAGAACTTCCTTCCCTTTTCAGACTTAGTAAGCTCTCATTGTTTACTTATATACCACACTTTGCTATCTGTTCATTTGTGGATGGACACCTATGTTGCTTCCAAACTCGTGGCAGTTGTGAATGATGATGCTGTGAATGTGGGGGTACAAATTTCTCTTAAGGACCCTGCTTCTTCTTTGGGGTATATACCCAGAAGTGGAATTTCTAGATCATATGATAATTGTTTCTAATGTCTGAGGAACCGCCTTGCTGTTTCCACTGCGGCTGCATCATCCTATTTTCCTACCAGCAGTGCGCAACGGTTCCAGTTTCTCCCCCTCCTCTACTATAGTGGTGGTTTTCTGGGTTCTTTTTGATAGTAGCCACCCTAATGGGTGTGAGGTAGCATCTTACTGTAGTTTTGATTTGTTTCTCTGATGAGCAGTGATGCTGAGCATCTTTTTATGTGCTTGTTGGCCATTTGTGTGACTTCTTTGGAGAAATGTCTATTCAGGCCCTGTGCCCATGTTTCAGTCATGTTGTGTGAGTGGGTGTTCTTGAGTTATAGGAGTTCTTTGTATGTTCTGGGTATTTATCCTTACCTGGTAAATCATTTGCAAATTACTTTCTCCCATTCCAAAGGTGGCCTTTCACTCTGTTGTTTGTGTCCTTTGATACACAGATGTTTTTTCTTTATTTTGTTGCCTTTGCTTTGGTGTCACGTACCAGAAATCACTGCCAAATCCAATGCCATGAAGATTTTCCCTAACATTTCCTTCTAAATGTTTTATACTTTTAGCTCTTGATTTTGGTCTTTGATCCATTTTGAGTTAATTTTTGCATGTGGTTAAGGTCAGGGCTCAGTTTCCGTCTTGTGCATGTGGATGCCCAGTTGTCCAGCACCGCTTGGTGAAAAGACAATCCTTTTCCCATCGAATATTCTTGGGACCCTTGTTGAAAATCAGTTGACCGCATGTGTGAGAGTTTATTTTTGGGATCTGTTATGTTCCGTTAGCCTGTGTGTCTTTCCCTGTGTCCAGGCCACCCCATTCTGTTCACTGCAGCTCTGTAGTAAGTTTCGAAGCAAGGAAGTAGGAAATGTCTGGCTTTATTATTTTAAGATTGTTTTGGCTGTTTGGGATCTCTTGAGATTCCACATGAATTTCAGGATGGGTTTTTGTATTTCTGCAAAAAATGCCACTGATTTTGAGAGGGATTGCACTAAATCTGTAGACTGCTTTGGGTAGTATGGACATCTTAGCAATATTAAGTGTTCCAATCTGGGCTGGGTGCAATGGCTCACGCCTGTAATCCTAGCACTCTGGGAGGCCAAGGTGGGCGGATTGCTTGAGGTCAGGAGTTCGAAACCAGCCTGAGCAAGAGGGAGACCCCCTCCCATCTCTACTATAAATAGAAATTAATTGGCCAACTAATATATATAGAAAAAATTAGACGAGCATGGTGGCGCATGCCTGTAGTCCCAGCTACTCAGGAGGCTGAGGCAGGATTGCTTGAGCCCAGGAGATTGAAGTTGCTGTGAGCTAGGCTGAGCCACAGCACTCACTCTAGCCTGGGCAACAAAGTGAGACCCTCTCTCAAAAAAACAAAAAAGTCTTCCAATCTGTAAACATGAGGTGGCTTTGCATTTGTTGTGTCATCTTTAATTTCAGCAATGTTTTGTAGTTGTCAGTGTATGGGTCTTTCACCCCATTAGTTAAGTTTATTTCTAAGTATTTGAGTCTTTCTGTTACTAATATAAATGAAATTTTCTTAATTTCTTTTTTGAATTGATAGATTTTTGTGTAAATTTTGTATCCTGCAGCATCACTAAATTTATTAGTTCATTACTTTGTGTGTGAATTCTCCAGGGTTTTCTACATGTGAAATTATGCCATCTGCAAACAAAAGTAATTTTGCTCCTTTCTTTTCCAATTTTGATGCCTTTTCTTTTTCTTGCCTAGGATTCCTGGTACTGTGTCGAATAGAAGTGGTGAGAGTGGGGATCTTTGCCTTATTCTTGATCTTAAGATAAAAGCTTTCACTCTCTCTCCATGGTGTATGATGGGCTTTTCATGTAGACTCAACTCATGTTGAGGGAGTTTTCTTCTGTTCCTAGTTTGTTGAGACTTTTTATCACAAAAGGGTGTGAGGTTTTGTCCAAGGCTTTTTTTTGGTCTCAGGTGGTATGATCACATGATTTTCCCCTTCATTCTGTCTCACTGATTTATGCAGGTCGAGCCATCCTCGATCCCAGGGACCAATCTCACCTGGCCGTGAAGTACAATCCTGTCAGTGTGTTGGGGGTCCTGTTTGCTAGTGTTTTGTGGAATATTGAGACACAAATCTTCATCAGGAATCCTGGTATGTGGTTTTCTTTTCTTGTCTTATAGGTCTTTGGTTTTGGTGTCAGAATAATGTCGGCCTCATAGAATGAATATGAAAGTGTTCTCTTCAGTATTTTGGAAGAGTTTGAGGAAGATTGGTTTAATTCTTCCTTAAATGTTTGGCAACATTTTCCAGCAAAGCCCTGGGCTTTCCTTTGTTGTTACTGAGTCCATCTCCTTCCTAGTCATAGGTCTGTTCAGATTTTCTGTTTCTTCATGATCAATCTCGGTAGGTTGTGTTTCTAGGAATTTGTCCACTTCATGTAGGTTACCCTGTCTTCTTACGCACAACTGTTTACTGTACTCTTATCCTTTTAGTTTTTGTAAAATTGGTTGTAATGTCCTCTCTATCTGATTTATTTGAGTCTTCTCTCGTTTTTTCTTAGTTTAGCAAGAGTTTGTCAATTTTGTTGATCTTTCATTCAATCTAGACTTTGCTCTAATCTTTGTCATTTCCTCTTTTCTGCTACCTGTGGGTTGTCGAGTCTTTTTTTATTAGTTCTTTGAGGTGTACATTTAGGCTGTTTGAGATCCTTTTAAAAATGTGTTTATAGCTATAAATTTCCCTCTTACCACTGTTTTTGCTGTGTCTCATAATTTTTTACATGTTATGTTTTCATTTGACTTGGGATACTGTCTGATTCCCTTGTGATTTCTTCTTTGACCCAGTGGTGAAGAGCATTCATTTTCACAGAAATATTTATGTACTTTTCAGGTTTTTTCCTATTGATTTTTAGTGTCATCCCACTAATAATACTTGTTGCAAATTCAGTCTTTTGAATTTTATTAAGACTTGTTTTGTGGCCTTAACATACTGTCCGTTTTGCAAGAAGTTCCATTTGGACTTGAGAAAAATGTGCGCTGCTGTTGCTGGGACGGTTCTGTGCATGTTGTCAGGCCCAGCTGTGTGGGGCTCACAGCTGCTGTCTTCCATCCATAACTGAAGTGGGGCATTAAAGTCTCTGCCAGTTACTGCAGGGCTGTGTTTGCTTCATGTATCTTCTGGGTGAATTTTCAACTTTATTTAAATAATATGAAGGTAAAATTATAGAATGTCTGGGAATTACTTAAACATAATCCATTGGGCTGAGGGTAACTATAAATGTAACAAGATTGGCCGAGGATTGGTAATTATTGAGGCTGGAAGGGGGTAGGTGCACATAAGAGTTTACACTGGGGTGCAAGCCCACTTTTTATGTACCGGGGCAGATGGTGAATAGTTTTGCCAGCCACAGGGTGTCTCTTGCAACCACTCAGGTCATCTGTACACATATGAGTGTGGAATGGACACTGAAATTTGAATTTCATATGCTTTTAATGCCATGAAATCACCTTACATTTTTTCTCCATTTAAAAATGCAGAAATCATTCTTATGAGCTGTGCAGAAACAGGTGGGCCACACAACTCTACTTTGCCAACCCTGATTTGCCTCTTTGTATATATTGACATTTTCCATTTACAAAGTTATATAATATTAGCTTTTTGTACTTGTTACTCTTTCTACAATGAATAGATATATTACTTTTGCAATCAAAGTATTTTTTTAAAAGCCAAAACACAAAAAATGTTACCCATAATTCTACTTCAAGATTTCACATATCTTTCCAGTACTTTCTCTGATTTTGCTTTTTGAAGATATGTAACATGTTCCCAAATAGAATACTCCCCTCCCCAGAAACCCGAAGCACCAAGTTGTGTGTCTCTCCCAATCTGCATCCCCTGGGAAGCTGGTTTCCTTTGGTGCTGCTGCCTGTTGGGCTTTAGAAGATGTCTCACAGAACAAGAATTTTTGCCACCGTCTTCTGCCCTACAGCATCAGTTCTCTAAAGGAAAAAAAAAAAAAAACCCACATCTCAAAAAGAAAACTCACAGCAAAGGGTATTTATCATCACCTCCAGACTTGTTCAGCTTTCTTAAAAATAAATTTTAATTTAAAAAATCACATAACATGAACTTTAACTTAGTAAGAAAATTAAACAGAAACAGTGCCAAAAGGATCAATATCTTGTTCTGAAAAGTAAAATTCTATCCAGCCTTTATCACTGAATGAACATATCTTATTTGCAACTATGAAAAGCCATGCCAAGACATTAACTTCTAAATATGTTGGTCTATCCATCCAGATCGACAGCCTTAGGTACGGGACAGTCACTGTTCTGAGAAGGACACACCTGTAGGAGGGGAAACCATTTGGAGACCCTGGTGAGAAAATGGTCAGGAAGGACAAGAGTTAGCAGCAGACTGATAACGGCTTCCAGAAATAATCAAACAGTAGAGAGGCACCAGGAAACTCCAGGAGATACGTACTGACCCAGAGTGTGGTCAGGAAGCATACCAATCCTGCCTGTGGCACTTGTGAAATGCCTCACAAAGATGACACCCACTTCGCAATCACAGCTTTCTATTTCCCCAAGGCCCACCTAGGAGGAAGCACACCTGCTGGCCTTGACAAGGCACGAGAAAGGGGCCCCGACTTCCCATGTTTAATGTTTATGTGGCATTCACTGAGCTATGGCAGGCATAGTGCCCTTCACAGCCACATGTTCCCCAAACCCTGCCCTTCCCATGGGCTCTGCTCAGATGGGAGAGCACCTGCGGAAAGCTGCAGGTGGGCTTCTCCCAAAACTACCACGTTTTCCCTCAAAAACTCAGGGTCGAGATGTGAATCAGTGGCCTTTTTAGTCAGCTAGCTTTTCTGTGCATAACCCGGACAGGCCCTGGAGGCCCCGGCATCCCTGTGGAGCCCAACCAGGTCTCCCTCACAGAGCAGCAGGCATCGCGCCTGCTGGCACCAGCCTCTTCCGAGGTTACAGCAGGGAGGACTTTGCCTGCTTCAGCCTTCAGTAATGAGGTTGAGGATGGAGGAGGAGACACCAACCCACACCAGGGGGGACGACAGCACTCCCCGTGTGAGGCTGTGCGTACACTGCAGCAGTTTGGTTGCAGATGGCCACATTCTCCTATGTAGGGGGCAGTTACCTGGAAGGGCTCAGGAGAACTTAACATTCCAGCAGCTTTAAGTCTGAATTACTTACTTTCACACAGTTTTGTAGCCAGAGGTCACAAAATCATGTCTCAGCAGTGAAGAAAAGCAGGGCTCTGTGGCTTCCGGCCTGTGCTCTGAGCAACGTGTGCCAACGCCTCTTCCACCTGGAGCTGGCCTTCCGTCTCCTCAGCCCAGTCCACAATCAGGTGATGGCTGTGACGCAGATCCCAAGCAAGCAGGATTCTCTGCAGTGTGGATACTGCACAGGTGGCAGCTGTCTGTTCACCATCCTCTGGTCTGAAGGCAGGGTGTCTCTGGTTCCACTGCAGCGTTTTGATGAGTGCCTACCGTGAAACCAGACACTTCTGTGGGAAATGACATGGTCTTACCTGCGTTTTGGCTGTGACTTCTTTTCTGGAGCTGCCAGATGGATCGACCCAGAGTGCTGTGGGCAACTGTCCAGGGCAGAGGGCTGCACACCTGGCCTGGGGGAGCACTGCTTGCAGAACACTGGGACAGCATGGAGAGGACGCAACTGGGAGACACGTGAGGAATAAAGGCCACCGGCTTAAAGGTAGAGTCATCACCACCTGAGCCTCATCCCAGCGTCACTGATGGTGGATGATCAGCTCCTGTCCTGCAGCCCTGGGAGGCACACATGGGCCCCCAAGAGGTGTCCCTGCCACAAAGACATGAGAGAGCCTTTAGATCTAAAGGAAATGCACAAATGGAAGAACAGTTGAGCATCAAGCAAAACGAGAGTGTTCAGGACAAATGAGGTGGGGGAGGGTAAAGGGGGCTCCGTTTCCAGAGTCACAAGACTTGGGAGACAGAACAGCTGTGCACAGCTCTTGACTGAGTCCTGGTTTGGGGGAAAAAATAAAAGCAGCCAAAAGACATTTTCCAGACAATTAGGAAAATTTACATAAATATGGGTATTAGATGGACTATTGCGGGATTTGTGATGTACCTTTAAGTGGCTCACTGCATGTGGCTATGCCCACACAAAACAGGACAGACCAGCAATTGTTCAGTCTCCACCACTGAGTTTCTGGGCATCCATTGTACTGTTCTTGCCACTTTTGCATAGATTTTATTTTTTCATAATAAAAGATTTTTAAAAATTTAAATACTTGTTCCTCCCTCAAAAGAAGCCAGAATAAAATATGCCAGATGAATTATGAGAATTAATCACCATTTATAGGTTTAAATGTAGTTCGTTCCTCTTTCATCATCTGCTGACTCTGCCAGGCTCAGGGATGGGACATGCCTCAGGGGGTAAAAAGCAAAGCTGTGACCCAGAGCCTCCACCATGCCTCTGCATGCTGTCGTGGCCCAGAGCCCCCAAGGGGGAAGTCACAGTTGCAATTGTCAAACATTCCTTAGATGTATCCGGCTTTGCTGGGAGATGGACTTTCTTGTTCACCTCTGAGTTCAACATTTCCTGCAGTTAAAATTAGAATAACTCTTTCATTCAGGATGTGTTACTCCTAGACGAAACGGATATCACATTCTGGGAGCTGGAGAAGTGGGCAGACACAGAATCTCAGGAAAAGGTCTGGGAAAACACCTGTGTTTAATGTTCAGCTCTGACAGCTCAGCCTGCAGCTTCTAAGAACAAATGCCAAGAACAACATCCCTCAGGCCCCCCACTGTCCTGGGCCTTGGGATAAAGTCAGACTCTGCAGGAGCCTGAGTGAAGGCACCCACAACCCTGGGCAGCTGGTAGAGTAAAAAAGTAAATTCCAGGTACAAGCCTTTTCTTTTAAATCATCTGCATAAGACCTGCTAATTCAGGGTGTCACCTACTTAACATGTTACTATAACTTTTCACTCATTTTACACAGTAAGGCATAGGCCAGATTCCTAAAGGTATGCTGTTGCCATGGAAGTGTCTCCCAGAACTCTCAGATCCACTAGTTCTGCTGAGGCCGGAGAGTGGCTCCGGCCTCCCCAGTTACATGACGTTGTCCTTCCATCAAACCCACACCCCACGTAGAGAACAAAGCTGCGCCTGTGTCTGATTGATGACACCTGCCAACAGGACGGAGCTCTGCAGGGCCTGGCCTTGAGGGAAGGCTGGGGGAGACCCTGTCTATTCAGGGAGCTGTGCCAGGCCAGGACCTGCCACACCTGGAACAGAGGAGCAGCAATGCCGGCGGCTCTGCTCTCCACATGACATGAGGGCGCTGGTCTTCTCTAGGCCTCAGAACCAGGGCTTAGACCCAGGTCCACATGGTTCTTAAACCGGCCCAGTGCCTTCCCTCACCCAGTCTACACTTAGGCATCTGCTGAGTCCACACAGGCCGCCCCCAGGAGCAGAATTTACAGCCACAAGGTAGAAACCGGCAAGCAGGCAGAGAGGAGGAAAGTGAACAAATGAACAAGGAAGAGGCACCCAGCAGGGCAGACCCAGGCTCAGTGTGGCCAGGCAGCAAGAGGGTTCCACAAATGCCCTTGCTCTAGGAGGGCCGAAGGTGGAAGGACACCCCCCCCCCGTCCCCAGCTGCCCTGGGGTCTCCAACCCTTCCTCGAAGGGCTGGGGACCTCCTCCCCCATCCTGTCCTCACCCCCCACCCTCCTCTAATTTTTTAAGTGAATTGACTGAGCGAATACTAAGTGCACTGCAGTATAGATGGTGCTCACACGTGACAACAATCATAGGAAATCTGAGAACTGGGGTTCCAGAGGCATAGACCAACCCTGCCCCCTTTCTAACATAAAGGGGAAGAGCATTCCAGAATCTCACAGGAAAGGCCTGCTGGGAGAGAGACAGGAAATGCCGAGTACAACTTGCCTTTTCTGTTTCTAGAGCCTCCTGCTCAGCCTGGTTTCTGTCCAGACGCTCCTTCCTGGCAGTGCAGGGGCTGGTGGGCAGGGGTCCCTCCCACCTGGCCCTTGTCATCACCTGGGACCTACGATCCTGGGGACCATGGCTCATAAGACACACATCTGCCCTCAGTCTGCCACCATGGACCAAGGTCCAGAAGGAATAAAGGCACTTCCAGAAGGAGCCTGAGTCTGGAATGGGGGAGACCTTCCCTCTGGCTCCTGGCACTGGATGGCAGGTGGGGGGCAGCACACGGAGCCGGGACGAGGCCTGCAGGCTGAGGACAGTCACGCAGCTGGCACTGAGCTCCGGCCAAGGGAGCCCGGGCCTGACCTTGGCATGGGGAGGGCCAGGTGAGGACATGCCAGCAACTGACAGCTCTGTCGCGTCTGGGGGCGGGCACCAGTGGATGGCAAGGGACAGCACATCTTTGGTCAGCCCAGGCCCAGTGCAGGACCTGCCAGAGAGACGCTCATATCGACACTGGGACATGGGGACCCTCCACAGCCCACATGGAATGACATTGCCGCCAGGGCCCAGTGGCTTCAAAACATACAGGAGGAATCCAAACTCCAGCCATCGGGTGGGGCCCACAGGGACCCTGTGCCAGGGTCACAGGCTGCCCTTCCAGAACCAAGCCCTAGAGCTCCCACTAGGGCTTGGGCTGCACAGAGGCAGAACATACTCGGCCTCTCTCCTCCCCAGACCCTCGAGGGACGGAGACTGTTTCCAGTTTGCTGTTAGTGAGCAGAGCTGTCCCTGGGTCGTCTACATGACAATTTTCTGTCCCTGGTGTGAACTAAAAATCTTAAGGCTCACCCCCCACTAGCTGACTGAATGGACCCCCTTGTAGCCAAAGGAATATCCTAAAACTACATTGTCTGCCAGGAGGAGGGAGGTCAGACATGCCTTATGCTCCCCTCGCTTCTTGGAGACATCCTTTATAACCCATTAACCCATTAAGGGTACGCAAGACAAACCTGGAAGTCCTCAATTTACACAGCAAATGCATGTCTGGTGGCTTATCTCTGATAACAGCTTCTTAAAACATTCTAAGCCTCTAGACAAAGCTTCACGTCTTTAACCAATTACAAGTGAAAGAATATTTAAACCAATCTATAACCTGTAAACCCCTACTTCGAGATGTCCCACCTTTTCGGGCGAAGCCAATGTATGCCTCCCACGCATTGATTTATGACTTTACCTGTGACCCGTCTCCCTGAAATGTATGAAACCAACTGTAACCCAGCCACAGCGAGTCCACTTGTTCGAGGCTTCCTGGGCATGGCTTTGGGTCACGGTCCTCAAATTTGTCTCACAGTAAATCTCCTTAAAATTACAGAGTTTGGCCTTTTCCCATTAACACTGGGATACCATGCATTGTTCTTTGGAAACACCCCAGCATAAAAGCCAACGACTAAGTGAAGGGTGCCCCCGTTTGTTCTCCACCTCAGCCCACCTCTGGTTCCCACTGACCATCTGATGTCATTACACCTGCAGCACGTTCCAGTAAACTCGCTCCACTGACCTCACTTTGATCATCCATAGAATGGGCACAGCAACACGGGGGGGGGGGCGCAAGTGGGCGTCATCGGCGTCTCCCTTGAGGGCCAGCAGGACAGGACCACAGAGCTCCAGCCATCTGTTCTCTCACCAGGTGAGGACGACGACGACGGGGCCTGGGGACGCGCACACAGCAGAGGCGCCGAGTGTCCTGACCCCTCCAGAGCTTCCGAGGAACAGAGACGCCACAGCGTGTTTAGGCCATGCCATACGTCTTTTTGTTTAAGTATCAAGTTATTTTTATGTGGTTTTACTCAACTTAAATAACAAGTGCTTAACATTTCTGTTTGTTTTGTTTTGCTAACTTCTGTTTCTGTTTTAGCTGAGATGTTTTTACAGGAATCTATTTGAATCCTCAAATAGAGCCGGCTGTTCCAGCTAGAGTTTCCACCCCAGGGAATTGAAATATATTTTTAATCAAAACGGTTTGCTTCCTGTGAGGAAGCAGACTGATTTTGTTTTCTTGATCTCCTCCACTCCCCCAGCCCTTGGTTTTGCTGAGTCATTGCCTAAATTTAAGCTAGGTGTGCTTTCTGGGAGGCCACGGCCTTCAGCTGGGGCAGGGCATGCAGGGAGATTCGGGGCACACGGGCTGCAGTGAGACCAGAGGAGACTCTGACGATAGGAGATGCCCTAGACCTTGCGTCAACTTCATTTCCCCAAGTCCTCACGGCCGCGGGGAGAGCATTCACCTCACCGTCAGCGAGCACGCTGCTGGGCTCTTTCAGGTAAAGGACAACATCCCGGCCGAGCCTCAGTGCGAGCGGACACGCCGCACACAGCTTGCCCAGCGGACGGAGAAGGGCTGAGGCGCTGCAGCGCAAGCGGGCCCAGTGGCGGCCGCCTTCCTTATGGCACGTAAGTGGTGACAGGCAGGCTCAGGAAACACCAATGTTATAGACACACTTGTGAGTGAGGACTGTACCCTTTTCTAACCTGTTTGGTTTTACA